ATTTTTCAAATTCTAGAATTGGCAATGAATTCTGAGTTGCTTGAGAGAATGCTCTAGCATTGATGAAAGGGTGGATTCTAGAATTTGAAAAATGATTGGCTTTGAAATTGATACCAAAAGCTATATAACTTAGCTCGCTCAAGAAGCTAGCTCAGATTGGTTATCTTGAAAGCTCGAAAAACGCAACCAAACGAGGAAAATTACATATAATTTTGGCAATAAAGCAGAAACAAAGGCAACCGTAACGCTTTCAGCAGGGATCACTAATATTACTTAGTTTAGAAACTTTTGTAACATGTTGACGAGAAAACTGAAAAAAGAAAGGAATTGGGATAAAAATGTAGCCAATCGACAGGCTTCAAATGGATTATTAGCAGATATGCCTATTGCAATTTCTAAACAACCTGATAAAGAGAGGAACGTTAGAGGGACTTTCGTCAAGCTTTATATATTGCAGATATGTCGCCAATATATGTACAGAAACAAAATAAAAAATCTACAAAACATTAACACATCATGGCTTAACGCTAAGCGAGCTGCTCTGGCAGGCAGTCCAGCCTCATGTACAAATGATTGCCTCCATGTACTCTCCTTGTGACTCTTTAACCTGGGATTAAAAAGAGAGAGAGAGGACCAAAGAAATTAGAGAATTGATTTTTAGGGCAAGTCTGAAAAACTAGGTCTTCTTTTTTCTTCGTAATTCTAAAATCTAGAATACTGCTAAACTAAATGAATTTTGCATAAGCTCTTTTTGAAATTTAGAGGGGGCCTGAAAGAATAGTGGAATATCATAGGAAGGGATTTCAATGTTTTTGTGTTTCTCTTAAACGGTTTTTTAATACAAGTTGACGGAGGGCCAATAAAGATGGAGCTCTCTCAAGTTTGATTAATAAAGGGAGCCGTCTAAGTGGCGGCTTCATTATAAAATAGCTCTGAGGGGGGAATTTAAATCAATAGTAAAACATTGCTGCAACCCTAAGGCAACGAATACCAGAACAAGAAAACTGACAAAAATAAGATTTAATAAGATAAACTCATAAAATATTTCTCTACTAGAAGGTATACCTAAGACGAATTTTAAAAATGATAAAACAAAAAATAAAATTATATGTATTTGCATTTCAACCATCACTTTCACCTCTTGTGAAAAGTTAAATCTCTTAGCCAAGGCAGAGATCGAGTCACTATTATTAAAAATCTCGTAAGCGTTTCTTGATTGTGTCGTTAATTGTCAAAGGTTCAACCCAGATTTATTCAATATTGAAAATTCTACAGAAATACATCCCGACTATGGTCTTAAATGCTTGGGAATTATCTTTAACAAACATATTCAAGATGTTTGCAGTCGTCTTATTTGAATCCATTCTTATGTAAATCAATTTCTTTACATCAATGACTCAAAGAAGAATCATTGGTATATAGGTAAATGTTTCAAAATATCAATACAATAAGAATATACTTCGAATAGTCATACTTCTCCAGCCTTTTCCTCTTGCCCTGAGTTGAAAGGTATTAAGGTAATTTGAACGCAGATTTTTCAAGTTCAGGGTGGCCCTTGAAAAAATTAGAAAAATAATGACAAATTAGAAAAATCTAATAAAAATGCATAGAAAAAAATATATTAAACAAAAATATAAGCATCACGATTTATACCGAAATTCATTTGAACATGTGCACATTCAAGCATGCCATGAAAGTAAATTCGTCAAATAATACAGTTTCGGAAAAGAAAATGAACATCAGGGATTAAAGAATCAAGAATGAATATAGGTAAATAATATATTCACTCTCCCTGGTGGCTTGCCTAACATTTATTTTTTGGAACAGACTTGAGATAATTGTGAATGGCAAAGGGTTGTTATGAAGATTCATGCCCCCTTCGTTATTGTATCGTTATTTGTATCGTTATTTACCGTAGTTTGTAGTAGTGTATTGGAAATTTCTATGAGCATCAAAAATTGGTAAATTTGAAAGGGAAAGACACAAAAATACTTATGGTGGAGCAGCTGACTTTCTTTACAATGAAGAGGTAAGGGGTCCATTTATAATAACTACATGATAACTTTGCTCAAACAATGTGTCTTTGCCAGAGCAGGACTTCGAAGGGGTGTTGCACGGTCTAAACCAACAAACGTACAGAGCAGCTTCGCATTAAACAATCAAATCACATAAAGCTGAATTTATGTCAGCATTTCATCACATGTTAAATGGTCCTGCACGTAAAGACTAATCTATAAGAACGTCACTTACCTTCAATTCTATAACGAGCACTTGGGCAAATTACTTTCAGAAAATTAAGTAAATGTTTGATTCAACAAAATCAAGCATAATATTCGAATGGGTACAAGAAAAAGTAGAATTAATAACTTATCAAATCCATTGTTGATGGGTTGATAATGATATGATGCAGGCACATTTCGAGAAAAGATCGTCAGGGATTATTTTTATAAAAAAAGACTAACATTAATGTAACATATAGAAAGCCCACAGTGACAAAGGATTTGATAAGACACCTACTTTTCTTGCTGCAATTCAAGTGAATCATCCCACTTGTGCAACTCTGGTACATCTCCATGGCTGGTCGATTCATTCCCTGTTTCTAAATAAATACCCTCTGCTTTTTGAATTGCTTATAAGAAGATTGGCTTTGAAATTGATACAAGAAGCTATATAACTTAGCTCGCTCAAGAAGCTAGCTCAGATTGGTTATCTTGAAAGCTCGAAAAACGCAACCAAACGAGGAAAATTATCATATATTTGGCAATAAAGCAGAAACAAAGGCAACCGTAACGCTTTTCAGCAGGGATCACTAATATTACTTAGTTTAGAAACTTTTGTAACATGTTGACGAGAAAACTGAAAAAAGAAAGGAAGTTGGGATAAAAAATGTAGCCAATCGACAGGCTTCAAATGGATTATTAGCAGATAGTCCTATTGCAATTTCTAAACAACTGATAAAGAGAGGAACGTTAGAGGGACTTTCGTCAAGCTTTATATATTGCAGATATGTCGCCAATATATGTACAGAAACAAAAATAAAAAATCTACAAAACATTACACACATCATGGCTTAACGCTAAGCGAGCTGCTCTGGCAGGCAGTCCAGCCTTCATGTACAAATTGATTGCCTCCATGTACTCTCCTTGTGACTCTTTAACCTGGGATTAAAAAGAGAGAGAGAGGACCAAAGAAATTAGAGATTTGATTTTTAGGGCAAGTCTGAAAACTAGGTCTTCTTTTTTCTTCGTAATTCTAAAATCTAGAATACTGCTAAACTTAAATGAATTTTGCATAAGCTCTTTTTGAAATTTAGAGGGGGCCTGAAAGAATAGTGGAATATCATAGGAAGGGATTTCAATGTTTTTGTGTTTCTCTTAAACGGTTTTTTAATACAAGTTGGACGGAGGGCCAATAAGATGGAGCTCTCTCAAGTTTTGATTTAATAAAGGGAGCCTGTCTAAGGTGGCGGCTTCATTAAAAATAGCTTCTGAGGGGGGAATTTACAATCAATAGTAAAACATTGCTGCAACCCTAAGGCAACGAATACCAGAACAAGAAAACTGACAAAAATAAGATTTAATAGATAAACTCATAAAATATTTCTCTACTAGAAGGTATACCTAAGACGGAATTTTAAAATGATAAAACAAAGAAATATAAATATATATGTATTTGCATTCAACCATCACTTTCACCTCTTGTGAAAAGTTAAATCTCTTAGCCAAGGCAGAGATCGAGTCACTGATTTTAAAAATCTCGTAAGCGTTTCTTGATTGTGTCGTTAATTGTCAAAGGTTCAACCCAGATTTATTCAATATTGAAATTCTACAGAAATACATCCCGACTATGGTCTTAATGCTTGGGAATTATCTTTAACAAACATATTCAAGATGTTGCAGTCGTCTTATTGAATCCGATATCATCTTATGTAAATCCATTTCTTGACATCAATGACTCAAAGAAGAACTCATTGGTATATAGGTAAATGTTTCAAAATATCAATACAATAAGAATATACTTCGAATAAGTCATACTTCTCCAGCCTTTTCCTCTTGCCCTGAGGTTGAAAGGTATTGAAGGTAATTTGAACGCAGATTTTCAAGTTCAGGGTGGCCCTTGAAAAAATTAGAAAAATAATGACAAATTAGAAAAATCTAATAAAAATGCATAGAAAAAAATATATAAACAAAAATATAAGCATCACGATTTATACCGAAATTCATTTGAACATGTGCACATTCAAGCATGCCATGAAAGTAAAATTCGTCAAATAATACAGTTTCGAAAAGAAAATGAACATCAGGGATTAAAGAATCAAGAATGAATATAGGTAAATAATATATTCACTCTCCCTGGGTGGCTTGCCTAACATTATTTTTTGGAACAGACTTTGAGATAATTGTGAATGGCAACAGGGTTGTTATGAAGATTCATGCCCCCTTCGTTATTGTATCGTTATTGTATCGTTATTGTACCGTAGTTTGTAGTAGTGTATTGGAAATTTCTATGAGCATCAAAAAATTGGTAAATTTGAAAGGGAAAGACCACATAAAATACTATATGGTGGAGCAGCTGACTTTCTTTACAATGAAGAGGTAAGGGGTCTCATTTATAATAACTACATGATAACTTTGCTCAAACAATGTGTCTTTGCCAGAGCAGGACTTCGAAGGGGTGTTGCACGGTCTAAACCAACAAACGTACAGGCAGCTTCGCATAAACAAATCAAATCACATAAAAGCTGAATTTATGTCAGCATTTCATCAGCATGTTAAATGGTCCTGCACGTAGATACAATCTATAAGAACTCACTACCTTCAATTCTATAACGAGCACTTGGGCAAATTATCTTCAGAAAATTAAGTAAATGTTTGATCAAACAAATCAAGCATAATATTCGAATGGGTACAAGAAAAGTAGAATTAATAAATCTATCAAATCCATTGTTGATGGGTGAAAATGATATGATGCAGGCACATTCGAGAAAAGATCGTCAGGGATATTTTTATAAAAAAGACTAACATTAATGGTAACATATAGAAAGCCCACAGTGACAAAGGATTGATTAAAGGACACCTACTTTTCTTGCTGCAATTTCAAGTGAATCATCCCACTTGTGCAACTCTTGGTACATCTCCATGGCTTGGTCGATCATTCCCTGTTCTAAATAAATACCCTCTGCTTTTTTGAATTGCTTATTAAGAACAGCTAGTTTTGCTTGCACAAGTGGGTGTCTAGATCCATCCATCCCTGTTTTCGATTCGATGTCGTCCACAAGTTCATTGACTTGATGAAGAAAACGAGCTTTTGAGACGTCCCCAAGTGCAGCATAGCACCTGAAAAAGACAGATTTGCTTAGCTAACAAAACTTTGACTGGACTCATTGTCAGCAAAGGCCCGTAGCTTAATGATTCTGAACAGTACTAAGATAGAATAATCGGGAATTTAAGTTTAAGGATAAAATGATACCCTATATTGCCAAAGAAATTTTTCATCGCACAATGATCATGAGCAGTTGAAAGATCTTCTCATTACAGTGACTTTTAAAGTTCAGATCTACAATTCTGCAAAAGGGATACTGTAGTTCTAAGCTCTTCAACTGATGATGATCGTTGTGTAATTGAAAAAGAGCGTTAAAGGCAATCGACAAATACTAAAGGGGCTTAAGCCTTCTTTCAATAAAAAATTGACCAATCAGTGCCTGTGATTCCATTCACACGCTCATTGATTGGCTAATACTGATCGACAGATGGCTTAAGCCAATTTATATCTTTAGATTACCTTTAACGTTAAAGAACATCGACTTTGTAAAGTCTTCCAAGGAACTGTATCAAAAACATCGAGAAGGAAGCTGGGGGACATATTTGTTTGGAGAAAAAGTAAGAAACGAGAGAAGAAAGAAATCCACTTAAAGATTAACAAGATTACAATATTAGGGCTTAAAATGTCAAAAACCATGCCAGTACTGATCAGTCAGATTTCACTGGGGCAGCATAAGTCAGCTACTGGCTCAAGCAGACAATCAAAATGAATATACAACACCGCTTCGACATATGACTCTAGATTTGTATATCGTAGTGTATCACAGATTTGTGTATCACAGTATATCGTTATGCACTGCATCAAATCAAGTCAAGATCGCATCAAATCGTTCCGGTCAAGTCAAGTCAAGATGCTTTTTTTGCCTTAGTTTTGAATGACAATGCTTTGCTCAGATCAGTAAAAGAAAAGGTACAAGATGAAGTAAGGTTTTTTCAATTCGTTTTACAATTTGACAATTTCTAACTGGGTTTTGGATTAGAATCAAACAATGCAAACATATATCATAATTTTTTTAATCAAATTAATCTAATCAGCTTAAATACGTGTTGGCAACTCTTTAATAAAAATCGAGAGAGATGAGAATAAAGAGAATGCCGGCCAGCTGCTCTATTTGCAAAAACAATATGTTGCCATTCCTTGACAAAAATTCTCTAATTCTTACAAACCGTTTTTTTCTGATTACAACATTTCATTATCTGATTTCATTTTACTCTAAAGCCACAGATTATTGTTATTCAAAAATTATATTGTAGGCTACACAAGAACAGAAATTCCTAAGCAACCAACCTTTCTGCAACTGGCAGGTTTCCTTCCTGCACAGCCAGCTTACTAAGGGTCTTCCACATGGCTTCTGTTTCGGGTGTCATGTCCAGCGATTCCAAGAACGTGATAGCCCTGAAACAAATAGGTATGTTTTCTGAATGCCCACTCATAAGATACAAAGGAGATAAGCTGTGGTACAGTGGTAATACTTAAATATCTTAGTCTGTTTATTAGCGGGTGAGTCGGAAGGGAAATCTTAATGGTCAACTTAATCATAAACATTAAAGGTGCCAAACATGAGCATTGTGGTACGACAGCAGCAACTTTATTCTGAGAACCAATAGCCAAGAGGTTAAGCTTAGGGAATGACTATTATGAATAGCTACGGGGACACGACAGTGCAACAACAAGCGTCGTAGGAATCATCCTGTGTTAGTATCTGGGAGTACCTACAAATATCTGCCAATAAAAGGATTCGATACTCAGGCATTGATACTCAGGCATTGATTCTCAAAATAACATCAAAGATCTGTCATCGCAATGCTTCTACAATGCGAATTTAAAAAGGCATTGTTGAGCCTTGACAATTTTTCCAAGCTCTCTAAAGAAAACTACTCGAAAGATCAGCTTTACCTATGGCATTCTATTAGTATGAGTTACGATCGAAAAGTGTTCCCTGTTCGTTGCATTTATCACTGAAGGGATGTTCTTATGAATAAACTACATGAATTATAAACAGATAAATATGCAAGGGCAATGCTCAGAGATCCCATGATCTTGCAACACAGTGAGATCAACATCTAGCGAGTGTGCATACCTCCCAAAGTCACCATCATCAATTGCCGTTCCAAATTCGATTAGACCCTCATCCAAAGTGTAGGAAACAGTAGAGACGCCCTCATTAACGATGACATCCGTCTTTCCATCGTTTCTCTCCAGGTCAACTATATCGCCCTAAAAGAAAATACGCTTAACTGAACCTCAACTGTGCGCATTGGACAAGAGATTACATGCCTTACAATATGACGGAAAGGAAAAGACGATCAACAAATTCCGTCGTTATTGGGTGAATCATGGCCAAGTTTTGACCTGTTTACTTTGTAAATCAAATAAATACAAAAAAAATACTGTCACTTGTAAGTAGCCCTTACCGTGTTACAATCAGTTCAAAATTAAAAAAGCAACAGCTCATGCAATGATAATATGTGACACTTTTTCGAGTAGAAAGCAGATAGGATATGGTAAAACAAAGAAGTTGCGGATTTCAAAGTAATGACCCGATTTCACGAGTTAGCTGTACCGAGATAATAACAAAGTATAACCTGTCCGAAATGGAAGCGATGGGGAA